TGTGCTGACACCACCCTGGCCCAGTGGCTCTGATCCCCATTTGACGTATTAGGCTCTGAGAAGTGGGCCCTGAGAGCGGAAGAGGTGATCTGCCTAAGGTCACACAGCCGGGATTCAAACTTCAGGTTTTTCTGATTCCAGAGCTCATGTTGTCTCCACTGGGCAGCTCGGCTGGGTGACAGGGGTGAGAAAAGTCCCTGAAGCCGAAAGGAGACGGCTTCCGGCAGCAGCTTTGTTTTCTAGGCTGGGGTGACCCCACGGGAGGGGAGGTCTGGCCTTGGGAGCATATGAGCCCTGGCTCTCTATCCTCCCCACAGTTGCTGCCCCAGTCCTGGCCTCTCCAAACCTGTGGGAGCCCAGAGCCTCTCAGCTGACATTTGCATAATTGTCCACCAGCCCTGACTCTGCTCCCTGTCCAGTGGAAGGGGTACAGAGATGTGGCTCTGCCCTCTGACGTTTGTCCCTCCTGACTCCCCCCTGCTCTGATGGGGCCTTCAGAGTCCACCTCCCCCAAGCTGACCCTCAAGGACTCCTCCCCCTCCTACTCGGGCCCCAGCGAGCCCCGCTGGCCTTTCCAGCTCGTGACTCCACCCACCTGTCCACACCTAGCTCCCATCATCCCCAACTGCCCCCCCCACCGACTTCCTGCACACCACCAGGGGTGCCCCTACCCGACTAGTCTCTCCACCTGGGATGCTCAGGCCCCACCCAGGAGATCTGAAGGAACCCTGCCCATCTGTCCATCTTCCCTGGGCTTTCCATCAGAAATAATAAACCCTCTCCTGGCCGCTCTGCCAGTTCTGACTCCCTATTTCACATGTAATTGGGATGATTATGATGAGAGTGACAACAACGAAGAGTGACTGAGTACATCCTGTGCGTCCTGTCAGGTTATGAATTAAGTGACCAAATCCTCCCGACCACAGAGCCGGCACTGGTATTAAGCTGCACTTTACAGATTTGGAAGTGGGGCCATGTGACCTTAGGCAGGCTGTCTGACCTCTGTGTGCCTCTATTTCCCCCTCCATGAGACAGAGATGATAAAGGCACGAACCTCATGAGGTTGTTGTGAGAATTAGGTGACCTGTGCCCTGTGAGCCCAAACCTCGCCTCTGCCCTTCTCCAGAGCTATAGTCCTACCACTCAAGAGTTTATCAACAGCTTCCTGTTTTCTGTCTCACTTCTGCTGGCAGTCAGTTTTCTGGTTGGTTCTCCTCTGTCAAGCTGTGTGGCCATGGGTCAGTCAGTCCTTTTCCTCGGACCTCAGTTTCCTGTTAAAGAAATCCGGAGGGTTTGGCCAGATGGTTCCTGGTGCTCCGCATCTGTGCTGAGACAGTAGCCACTGGTGACATGTGGCTATTGAGCACTTGAAAATGGGCAACCCAATACCTCCGTGCAACTGAGGAACTGAGTTTCAGGTTTATGTAATTTCAAATCATTTTCATTTTAATAGCTACACGTGGCAAGTGGCTGCTGTATTGGACAGTGTAGAGCAAGACTGAGAGATAAGGCTGGAGAAGAAGTTGGAGCCAGTGGTGAAGGCCTTGAGTGCCATGCTCGGGCTCTGTGCCCGTCTTCCCAGACAACATGGAAATCCTGCAGTGGGGTATGGGGGAGAAGCATGGACAGATCTGTCCCGTATAGCAGTCACTCCAGGGGCACTTGGAGAATGCAGGGGCAGAGAAGAGCCTAGGGTCACAGTCCAGAAAGGCAGGGGTGAAAACCAAACCAGACGCAGTGGGTGTAGAGAGGAGAGAACAGATTGCAAGCCAAACCTGATGACTGATCGCATCGGTTGGTGGACAGTGGCAAGGATGACACCTTCATTTCTCGCTTGGATGGCAGTGGGGGTGGGGGCGGCCTTCACTGAGATGGGCCCATGGGAAGAGCAGCAAGTTTGGTCTCTCCTAACCCTATTCCAGCATTCTCTGCCATGGTAACGTGTGTGTCCCTGTCTTCCCCCAACTCATGTGCACCCTCCTGAGGCATCATGGGTTGGGACTTGACCCTCATCCCTCTGCCTGTTGCTGCCACAGCACCATGTGGGCCCAAGGAGGCCTCCGCACAGGTTTGGAATGGGCAAAGGAGCGTTCCGTTGTCCTGGGGTCCAGGAGGAAGGGGCAGGCCTGTTCCCCTTGTTCCTCAGCCCTGGAAGCAGGGAGTGATTTGTCCAAGTTCCTGGGGTGCTCTACGCAATGTGAGCAACTCTGCCTCCAGAGCAGTTTTCTGAGACTCTGAGAAGCCGCTTGGGGAGCTGAGTCTCATGTGGACCCGAGTCTTAAGTGAAGCCATGAGGACACCAAGGCAGGGGATCGGCGTACCCGGCTCATCCCTCCGATTATCTGCGTGTTAGCCACATCCCAAGCCGGCCAGACCCGGGGCTGTCAGGAAGGGCCCAAGGAGCGATCATTCTTCGCACTTAGGTGAATGAGATTTGTCTGCTCCAATGACTCAGTTGCGCATGGACCTGTTAGGAATGACTCTTGGCCATTCGTAACAGACACCTGACTAAGCAGCTGCAATTAGATGGTATGCTGCTTCTCTCTTGTGCTTCTCTCTCCCATAAAACGTGCCTGGAGGAAAGGCCCCCGGGGCAGCGGTGTGCTGGAGCCAGCTTGCTCTAGTGCCTGTAAGCTGACTGTGCCTGGTGACCTCACATTGATCCCTTGAAATCGGCTTTGGTGGGAGTATTTACACCACAGAAATTGGCCAACACTATAAATCAGGGGCTTTTTTTTGGGGGGGGGGGGCAGCTTCCTAGCTCATCGCTGAGCAGTGCACCCCACAGTCATCAGGGACCCAGGCTCCTTCCTCCTCCTACCCCTCTGGTTTCAGCTTGCGACTTCCGTCTTTACCCGAGTGCCAGCCATTATGTTCTGTGTGAGCTTTCTGCCATCACAGCCCAGGCCGCTCCTGGCTTCCTGTCCAACTGCTGTTTCCGAGGCTGGCTCTTCCCCACCTTGTGGCTGTGTGTCATCTCAGGTGGCAGCTCAGAGGAGAAAAGCCTTGCCTGACCACCCTACCCCAGCTCCCCCCTGCCCCCCACCGCCCTGCCGTCCCACGCTGCTTTATTTTCTCTAGAGTACAGACCATATTCCTTAATTACCTGGTTGTTTTGTTATTTCCCTTGCTAATTATCTCTCTCCCCCGCTACACTGGAGGAGCCCTGTGGGCATGGACTGTCTGTCTTGTTCTCTGCTGTATCCCCCGTGCCTCAACAGTGCCTGGATATAGTAGTTGCTCAAATATTTGTCACGTGAATAAGGGATAGGAAGCAAAGGTAATTTTGTTTTCTGCTTTCTTCCTTTAGAGAGGCATCATGATCATCTTCCCATGTTGCTACCTAGTCTGTAAAATTAGTGGGACTAGATGTTTTCTGAGGGCAATGAGCTGAGTGAGTGGAGGGAGGTGAGGGTGAACAGGTAAGTCAGCTCCCTGGCATCGCTCGCAGTGCAAGGTGACTGGGAAAACTGGGCCCTGCTCAGAGGCTTTCATCCACAAAGCAAACTTCCTTGAGCCCCATCTTAGTGTTGGGCTGTTGATGCACGCAGGGGGTAATAGAGCGGGGAATGGTAAGGGCCCCCCCGTTGGACTTGGGCTAATATGGGGATGCACTAGGGACAGACAGGAGGACTAGTTACGATACAATGGGCTAAATGCCCAATAAATGCAGACAGCTGGACCTGTACTGGGGATGCGCACCTCAAACCACATTCATTCATTTGACAAATATGTATTGAGGCCCTACTGTGTGCTGAAAACTCTTCCAAACACCGGGGATACAACAAGCTGGACAAGACTCCTGCCCTCATGACAGTCACATTCTGTGGAGGAGACAAGCAGTAACACACTGTCGAATAAGTGAGCAAAAGCATCTTGGGCAGCAGAAAGTGCTAGGAAGACCACATAACAGGATGTGGGTGTAGGGGATGATGCTGTACGTGGGGTGGCCAGGCAAGACCTCTCTGAGGAGGTGGCCTCTGAGCTGTTATGTTAATGACACAAAGGGACGGGCACCAGAAAATCTGAGTGCACTGGCCAGAGGAGGTAGCAAGGGCGGAGTCAGGAGGCTGAGACCAGCATATGATGGAGCAGCAGGAAGAAGGCCGCTTTGGCCAGATGGGAGTGAGGGGAGAAGGGCAGTGGAGACAGCCATGGGACTAGCGTGAGGCGCGACATCGAAGCAGTCACCCCCAAACTCAGTGATCGAGATGGAGAAGACTTAATGCAATTTTTTAAAAAATCAACATGAAAGCAAAAAGCCCCATGATGAACAAAATATCAACATTTTAAACAAAAAACCAGATCACTAGCAGTGTCGTGCTGAGCTATCCTGGAACCTGAGGCAAAGGAAAAGTCAGTACTGCTGATCCTGTCCTTATCTGAAGTTTTGAGATGTTGTGTTTCATGGATTTTTTGTCGCTGTTTGTCACGGGCGTCATCACTATGGAAGACGTGTCACTTCATCTCGAGATGATGGTCTCCAGAACCAGACTGCTTGAGTTCCAATTATGGCTTTACCCTTACCTGCTTAGCTGCATGCTTTCAGGCCAGTTTCTTGACCTCTCGGTACCAATTTTAACGTCAAAAAATGGGGCTAATAGTGCCTACCTCTGTGTCATTCCGAGGATTAAATGACCCAATGCAAGCAAAGGACTGAGGACAGCGCCTAGCCCACACTGGACGCGTTAGCCGTAACAGCGGGCCTTGGTACCCACGGGAGGATTCTAAGCGGGGAGTGTCTGCCGGCAAATCAGGCTGGGGCAGAATGTATGTGGAGGCGGGTTGGAGGCAGGAAGACCACAAGCTCCTAGGATGGCTAGGGAGGCGGCTGTTGCAAAACTCCAGATGAGAGATGGGAAGATGAAAGCAGCCTGGATATTGGGAGACTTGGGGGTTACTGAGCTGTGCGGGGAGGAGGATGTTGGGCCAGGTCTGGGGAGCGCGACGGCGGTCGGCCCCGGCTCTGGGTCACCCATCCCCGCCTCGTGTTGTTCCAGAGGGAGCTGAAGGAGCAGCTTCAGGCCCTTCAGGACAGCGAGCGGGAGCACACGGAGGCGCTGCAGCTGCTCAAGCGACAGTTGGCAGAAACCAAGGTGAGCCAGGCCTGGGCGCAGGGGCGGGTCCTGCGGGGTGGGCGGGGCGTGGGGGCGGGGCCGTCTAGGAAGAGGGGGCGGGGCGTAAAGGTGCCAACCGTATTCTGAGAGGGGCTGGGGTGGGGGGTGTGGAACGGAGGCTGGGGCTCACCTGAATGTAAACGGGACAGGACCCATTCCCAGGACTGAGGGCAATGATTTGGGCTGGTGCCTGGCTTTAAGGGTGGGGCTCTTTCTCCCTTCCTGCCCTGGGTGGAAGGTGAGGTGGGACCAGGGACCCTCAGGAGAACTCCCAGTCCTGCAGGGCTGGGAGAATGTACCTGGTCTCTTTTTCCTCTCGCCTTATTAAACACGCCCACCCAGGGGCACCTGGGTGGCTCAGTTGGTTAAGGCTCCCACTTGGGTTGAGGTCGTGATCTCATGGTGAGTGGGCTTGAGCCCCAACTGGGGCTTCGGATTCTGTGTCTCCGTCTCTCTCTACCCCTCCCCCGCTTGTGATCAGTCTCTGTCTCTCTCTCTCTCAAGTAAATAAATATTAAAAAAACAAAACCATGCTGGCGCATTGCCAGAGGAGCCAACCCTGAGTATGTGCCCTCGAAGCCCTCCTGATGATTTGTGACCCAGCCTTTGTATCATCCCCCCTCTTAAACTCGGACAGTGGGCCAAACCCTCTAGTCTCTGGCTGCGGTGGTTTGAAAAGAAAGGCTTCTTCTTGACCTGAGAAGGAGGCCCTGGATTCTGATCCAGCCACTAACTCACTGTGTGACTTTGGCTAAACTGCATACTCTCCTGGGCCCCCAGTCTTCCCATCTGTACAATGGAGACTCTGCCAAGGTCTTCGCAGCCCTGAAGTTCTAGATCCCGTGGGCTCCCTCTGAGTTCCCCCCACAGATGTCTCACCAACGGCACAAGGCTTGCTTTGATTTCTGCCCTTTCTGGGACCAAAAACTGGGGGCCCAGGCCCAGCTGCTAACCTCTACAGTGATTTCAGCCTGGCCCCACTCACTAGCAGGGGTGCAGCTGCCGGCAGCAGCTGGAGCAGAGCCTTAGGAATTTTCTGGGCCTCTGAGGGGTCAGCCTGGGGCCCGGAGAGGCCATTGGAGATCCAGATCTGTGCCTCAGCTTGGCCACCAACCCGTGTGGGGTCTTGGGAAGGTCATGACAAACATTTCTTCAGAGAACATTCTGGACTGCCTGCAGGCAGGACCCTCAGCAGGCAACAGATGAGAACAGTTAGAGGACTCTAGCCTATTTGCCTCCCACAGCCTCAGTTTCCCCATCTGTCCGGTGGTTCAGCACCTCTCAGGTGAAAAGAAGCTAATGGAAGCCTCTGTGTGAATGAGAGCGGAATATTATGGTCTGGTTTTCCCCCCAGCAATCTCTTCTCTCCACTCCCCATTGTTTTTCTCCACTGACCTTTTCCTCCCCTGCTTTCCTGTCCATCTGTCTACCTCTGGGGGGTCCTGTGGGGCCAGCTCCCCCTCCAGTTCCCCCAGCCCTGCTTCCTGTCTGGACTGGGGTGTTTATACAAGAAATGCCTATGGATGCTTTGGAGGTCATATTTCACCTGGTGCCTGACTCGGCTTTCCTGCAGAGCTTGCCCCTCCAGTGGCCCAGCCTGAGGGCCTGTCTGATCTCCCTCCCCAGGCCCAGTGTTTTCTTTGGTCGGTCCTGACCAAGTGACGCATTCTTGGCAGGGTATTTTTCTGAAGCAGCCCCAATTCCTCCAAGCCCCAGTGGATTCCCAGGGATGTGGCTGGCTGGGGTAGGGGCTACTTTCCCAGCCACAGCACCAAAGGGACTGGGGGTGGGGTGGGGGTGGCTCTGCCCTAGAAAGAAACTAGAATAAACGGGGCACACCGGTTGAGTGGAACCTTTCTCTGTGCGGGTAATTGTGTTTCCCATTCATTGTTTCACTGAACCCCACGGAATGTCATCTCTATGACAGCGGGACTCCCCAGAACCTAGCACAGTGCCTCCCACACACAATAAGTAGTTGTAGAACAAGTGAGTGTGTGCGGGGGGTTGGGGGGGAGGCAATTTTTGATGGAGGAATGTTATCTCCATTTTATTGGCAAGGAAACTGAGGCACAGAGAGGTTGAGGAACAAGCCTAAGGCATCACAGCTAGTAAGTGGCTAGTTGGCAGCTTACTGTCCAGTTTTGTCAGAACCTAGTTCTGGCATATTCCAGGCGTGTGCGGGGGTGTCCTCAGCAAGATCTATGGCTTTGTGGTCAATAGGACAGGTAGGCTGGGAGGGGGGAGGACCTTTCAGGGACAGCCTTGAATCATGTGTGGTGGCTGGCTGTCACTCCGATGTTGTTCTTTTGAGCTGACCTCTCCCTGCCTGTCTCCCTTTTTCCTACCCATCTTCTTTCGTCCTGGAGACACTAGCCCGTACCCTAAAAAGAAGACAGAGTCTGCACTCACCTCTGCAGAGCAACTTTTGGCAAGACTCTTCCCCCTTCACCTCTCAAGCAGGTTCTGACTGCCAGCCTGTGCCAGGCCCTGGGATGGGCACAGGAAGCGCAAGGCTGAAAAAGACGTCATTCCTACCCCTGGGGGGTTCATCCACTAGCTGGAGCCACATAAAATGTGAGACTGTGTATTAGGAATATTTACAAAATGCTCTGGAGACATTTGACTATTTCACTGCCTGAAAAAGTTAGGGAGGATGTCACCGAGGAGGTAGCTTTCGAGCTGGTTCTTGCAGGATGAGTAGGAGTTTGTTTGCCTGTTGAATAAAGAGTTTGTTGGGGGCGGGGCCCATTCTAGGCAGGTGTAATTACAATGCAGTGGCACTAGAGAGGTGAGCTGGGGTCAGATTGAGGACTCTGAATGCCAGGCTAAGGAATCGAGTGTTTTACTAGTTATCAAGGAGCCAAGAAATGTTCCTAAACACAACATTGGCTTTGACCCACTTTGCACATCAGAAGGATCACTCTGGCAGTGAATTTGTTGCCAAAGACCCAGAGTTGACTTGCGGACCGAGAGAGTTGGATGGGCTGTGGGATCCCAGGAGTATGTGTAGTTGAGGCAGGTGGAAGGATGAATGTGGTGCTCAGGAGACACTCAAGACCATGGCTAAGGACACGGGAGCCATCCTCAAAGCCATGGGGTCAAACAGGAAGGAGGCCATGTAGGTGAGAATGGAAGGAGCCGTCCCAGAGAGAGCGGCCATAGAGGTGGGAGGCAAACCAGAACCTGCCGCCGGTAGAGGGGGGCCAGTGCACCAAACACTGTCATAGAGGGGTTGAGAAGGAGCCGGAAGGGGTGGCCGTGGGATTTGGGGGTCCTTGGAGGGCAGCAGCAGATGACGCAGGAAGGGCAGGCCCCGTCACCCCCGCCGTGACCCGCACAGAAGCCTCAGGGTGCAGGAAGGGGCTCAGGGAGGCCACAAGCAGCCTGGCTGTTCATCCCCAGCTTCTCCCCCGCCCCCTTTGTCTGCCTGGCGCTCTGGGTGGGCATGCGCGGGGAGGCTGGCCCACTGCCAGCACTTCTTCCTGCTGCCGCGACAGGAGGGAACTGGCCCTAATTGAGCCTTTGTTGAACCTCCCACAGAGCCCTGGGCACTGAACACAGCGGGGTCTCTGACTCTGTGAACTCCCAGCCAGAATCCCACAAAGTAAAATTGCAGAGGCAGGTCCCACACGCTGCTGCTGCCCGGCCACACTTCTGTACCCCGCGTTGTCCTGACTCCGGCTGCTCCCCGCACCCCCGGTTGACATCCTGCCCCTCCTTCGGGCCCCAGCTCAGAAGCCATCTCTCAGTGAAGACTTTTAGGGTGTGCCTGTTAGAATGGATCCCCTTTAATAGCCAGGCTCTTCTTCTGCACTTCAGACAATGGCGTGCATTTTGTGAACGTGCCCTCGCTTAGTCTTCACCAGAACCCTGCGACGTGGTTGCGTTACCCCTTTCGCAGAGAAGAAAAGAGGCTCAGAGACATTAGGCAACCGAGGTTTCCACAGCTAGAGACCCAGAGCTGGGATTCTCACCCAGGCTGGCGGCTACCAAAGCCCGCGCCCTGCACCGCTCAGGCCCCTCCTGGGCCTGCCAATGCCCGCGGGAACAGAGAAATGTGCAAGTCCAGTCTTGCCTCCTGTGATCATGGCTTTCGCCTCCAGCTCTTGTTTTTCAGCCAGGGGGTCTCAAGGATGAGCGACCGCCAAGGTTTGCCCGGCACATTGCAGGTTATAAAGCTCTCTGCCATCCGTGATCTCCTTGTCGTCTTTGCTTGAACCCCATGCGTGATGTTTTAAATTTTAATTTGATTGTTTGTTTGTTTGTTTGTTTTTAAGACTCCATGCCCAACATGGGGCTTGAACTCACGACCCTGAGATCAAGAGTCTTATGCTGTACTGACTAAGCCAACCAGGCACCCCTGAGTGATTTTTTTTTTTTTTTTAAAGAAAGACCTCACTGTATCCTGGACTGAACTCAGCGTCTTTTCCTGCCCCCCTGTTCTCCCCCAGCTTCTCTGTCCCTCCCACCCCCAAGCCAGAAATCTGGGCATCATCCTCACACCTTTCTTTCCCGTACAACTACAGCCAGACTGTCAGTCACCAGGGCTAAAGAGACTCTCCCCAAATGTCTTTCAAGCCTGCAGCCCCTCTAGTGCAAGCCTCAGTGTCTCACCCAGAGCACTTTATGAGTGTCCTGATGGGCACGTGGAAGTGTGTGCCATCCCCGGCCATGCCAGCCTGACATGCCATTGCACTTTAACAGGTGCCGTTCCCACCACGGAGTGTGCCCTTCCCCGCCCTTTCCTCTCGCCGTGCCAAGGTTCTCGGTTTCCTCCTCTCTCCCAGGGGTCACCCCATCTGCTCCCCTTGGCATAACCCCTGATGACTGTCCCCACAGTCTTCCACCAAAAGCTTGCGGACCACCATCGGTGAGGCCTTCGAGCGGCTGCACCGGCTACTGCGCGAGCGGCAGAAGGCCATGCTGGAGGAGCTGGAGGCCGACACGGCCCGCACGCTAACCGACATTGAGCAGAAAGTCCAGCGTTACAGCCAGCAGCTGCGCAAGGTGCAGGAGGGGGCCCAGATCCTGCAGGAGCGGCTGGCCGAAACCGACCGACACACCTTCCTGGCTGGGGTGGCCTCCCTGTCCGAGCGGTACGTGCCCGCCACGGGCTGCCTTCCCCAGACGGGCATCCCGTCCCCAGCCTGTGTGGGGAGATGGCCCTGGAGGCAGATGGGGTGGTTAGCAGAGAATTCATTCACTCACATCTTCATCAGACAGTTACGGGGCATTGGCTGTGTGCCAGAGCCTGGTCTAAGGCTTTATGTGTTTCTATTGTTCTATATGTAATAAGTAGAATCATAGAATATTACTTACAGTACAATGTTACTTATGTTATAGTACAAGTATATATTATAGTCTTTATAATAACATTGATATTATTGATAATAAATAATATTTATATTATTATAATCCTATTAGCTCCCTTGCTGTCATCTCCATTTCACACGTGTAGAAACAGGCACAGAGAAGCTACGTCAATTGGCCGAGGCCCCTCATCTAGTATATGACAGAGCCAGGATTCAACTCCAGGTCTCTCTTGTCCCATCGCCACCATTAGAAATAATAACACTTAATTATCGGTCTGTTGATGATCAATACTGACAGTTAACATCACGTATTTGGTGTTGACCGTGAGCCAAGCACGGTGATAAGCATTGTACATACATGGCGCCATGTAATCCCCACCACAAGCCTAGGAGGCAGGTGCTATCATAGCACCCATTTTAAAGATAAGGAAACTGAGGCTAGGAGAGGTAGGAAGTGGCACAAGCAGGCACTTGAACCTAGGGCTGGCAGACTTTAAATACACGGCCTTGCTCCCTGTCAGCTGCCCTGAAGGTGGCTGTGGGCCCCCCCCCCCCGTGTGTTGGGACAGAAATCCGGCCCCCCAATGCAGCCTGCTCTCCTGCTTTCCTTCCAGGCTTAAAGGGAAAATCCATGAGACCAATCTGACTTATGAAGACTTCCCGACCTCCAAGTACACAGGCCCCCTGCAGTACACCATCTGGAAGTCCCTGTTCCAGGACATCCACCCAGGTAAGGCCCTTCCTGCCAGTTACCAACAGGGCCAACAAAGAGGCAAGGGTTATCCTGGGCAGGAGCTAAAGGGGGGTTACATCCCAGCCCAGCTGCCTGCTCTAATCACAGCCTGGGGGCAGGGCAGAGGGATGAGAAGAATTTCTTGCTGAGCACCTGCTGTGTTCCAGGGCTCGTGCTGGGCACCTGCGTAATCACTCAGCTCAGCGAGTCCTCCTACAACCATGAGGTCGGTTCCATTAGTGTATCCATTCTCCAGATGAAGAGACTGAGGCGTTGGACAGTTCATTCATCCATCCTATACATTCAGCACATATCAAACCCCCTACTTCACACCAGGTGCTAGTCTAAGTGTTGGAGATGTAGCCGTAAGCAACACAGGCAAAAGGTCCCTGCTTTTGTGGATCTTATATCATAAGGAGAGAGAAAATAAAAGTAAATAAGTAAAATCCATAGTTCATTAGATAAGGATAAAAGATAAGGAAGGGAGCGAGGGGATGTTGAGGTAGGATAGAGATTTTAGGTGGAGGACCCAGTTAGAAGACCTCACCAAGAAGGAAGCATAGAAGTAAAGGCCTGGGGGCAGCTGGGAGGCTCACTCAGTTGGGCGTCTGACTCTTGATTTTTTTTTTTTTTAATTTTTTTTTTTAATGTTTATTTATTTTTGAGACAGAGAGAGACAGAGCCTGAACGGGGGAGGGTCAGAGAGAGGGAGACACAGAATCTGAAACAGGCTCCAGGCTCTGAGCTGTCAGCACAGAGCCTGACGCGGGGCTCGAACTCACAGACTGCGAGATCATGACCTGAGCCAAAGTCGGACGCTTAACCGACTGAGCCACCCAGGCGCCCCGTGACTCTTGATTTCAACTCAGGTCGTGATCTCACAGTTTGTGGAGTTGAGTCCCACATTGAGCTCTGCACTGACAGTGCGGAGCCTGCTTGGGATTCTGTCTCTCTCCCTCTCTCTCTCTGCCCATTCTTTCTCTCTCTCACTTCCCCGACTTTCTCTCAAAAATAAATAAATACTGAAAAAAAAAAAAAAAAAAAGAAGAAGTAAAGGCCTGAAGGAAGAAGGAGAGTGATCCATGCAGGTTTCTGAGGGAAGAGTGTTCCTGGCGGTGGGGATAGCAAGTACGAAGGCCCTGAGGCGGAGCAAGCCTGACATGTACAAGGAACAGTGAGGAGACTCATGTGGCGAGAGTAGAAGAGAGTAGAGGTGAGGAGGTCAGGGAGGCAGCAGTGGCCAGCCCGTGAGGGCCTACAGGCCAGCGTGAGAACTTCAGATTTCACGCTGAGTGAGATGGGAGCCGTTGGAGGGTTTGGGGACAGGCAGTGACGTGAGCTTAACTTCCTAGCGGCTCCCTCTTGCTGCTGGGTTGAGACCGGACTGAAGGGGATGGAGGGTGGAGGCTGGGAAACTGGGTAGGAGGCTACCACAATACTGCAGGTGATGGTGGCTTGGAGCAGGGTGATGGCAGTGGAGGCAGAAAGGAGTGATCAGATTTAAGATATATTCTGAAGGGAGAGCCACCAGGATTTGCTAATGAATGGGAGAGAACTGGGGTGGGGGAGAAAGAAGACAAGGAAACTACAGCGATTTGGGCTGAGGCGCCTGGAAGGACAGAGCTGTAAGCGTGTGAGGTCTGCAGTACCGATGAGATGTCCAAGTGCAGGTGTAGAGAAGGCAGTTGGGATGACATGTGCAGTACAGGACAAGGGTCAGGGCAGTGTCGGCATTGCGTGGACAGTATTTGATGAGCCTAGGTGAGATCACCTAGAAAGTGAGAGTGGAGAGAAGAGAGATGAAGTCACTCTAAACTTTGGAGCCCTGGGGCACTCCTAGAGGTTAGGGACAGGAGGGAGACCCAGCCAAGAGGATCAGGAAGGAGCAGCCAGAGAAGTGGGAGGGGAACCTGGGTGAGTCCTGGAAGCCAAGTAGAGAGTGGCTAATGGCAACAAAGGCCGCTAAGCCAAGTGAGAGAACACGGAACTGACTGTTCTCTGGCAACATGGAGGTCTTCAGTGACAAGAGCTTTGGTGGAGCCACAGGGGCATAAGCCGGATAGGAAGCTATCCGAGAGAGAGAAAGGGACATGAGGCATCTGGGTGGCTCAGTCAGTTGATTTGATTTGGCTGAGCATCCAACTTGATTTCAGCTCAGGTCATGATCCCAGGGTCGTGGGATCGAGCCCTGCATTGGGCTCCAGGCTGAGCGTGGAGCCTGCTTGGAATTCCCCCCCTCTCCACACCCCGCCCCGCCTTCGCTCATGCTTGCTTGCACACGCACTCCTCTCTAAAAATTAAAAAAAGAGAGAATGGGAGGGGAGCGAGTGGAGACAGTGCTTTCAAGGAGTTTTATTTAAGGGAAGGAGCGAGAAGGCGGCAGAGGCTGTTGAAGGTGGGAGAAGTAACAGCCTATCTGTGGGTGATGAGAAAGACCCAGTGGCAAAACCGAGGATGCAGGGCAGAGAGAGGTGCTGCAGGGACAGCCAGGAGTGGGGTCTGCTGCTGCCCCTTCTGACAGCTCATCTTCAGGAGCCCAGAGGAGGGAGAATAAATGGGCAGCGGTGGGAGCTTGAGGGAACGCTCTGCCCATAGCCTCCCCTTTCCCAGCGAGGTAGGAAGCAAGGTCATCCGCCGAGATGATGATGGGCGAGAGGAGGTAATGGGAGGTTTGCTGGGAGAGAAGGTCTGAACAGGTTTCTAGTAGAGTGAGTAGACCCTGGGACCCGAAATCATACAACCTACAAAGGCACCACGTCCTTTAGAGGTAAGACAAGGATATAAAGGAGAATCCTCCCTCAGAGGTCGGCACTATTATTATCCTCATTTTTTCAGATGAGAAAGCAGGCACAGAGCTGTTAGGAACAGATGTCTGAACCGGGCGCTGAAGGCTGATGGCTTTGCCACTCGGGGAAGGCTGGGGCCTGGTGGTGCCTCCAGACCGTCCCCAGTGTGGGGAGCTGCATGGGCAAAGGCAGTGGGGGAGGAGCATGAATGAACCCAGGATGCTCATGATCGGGCCTTCCAGGTAGGGATGGAGAGAGGCTGAAGGCACCACTGAGCGTGTGAATGCTGGACAGAGATGGGGGTCCCCTGTAGGTGTCTGAGGACCACACTTGATGTATCAATACTGATTTCCCAGGAGTGAAGGGACAGCTCCTGGTACTTTTTTTTTTTTTATTAATTTTTTAAAAAAATATTTAAAAAACATTTTTTAATGTTTATTT